ATATTGAACCTTACATTGTAAATCCTCAACAAAGGAAAAAAACATGTGAATTTAGTCCAAAGCCACTGCATAGTGCTGTGAGCACATGAACTGCTGGCACCCAGCACTGCAGGGCTGGGCAGCCACAGCTGATGAGGAGGTTGGCGCTCATTTATCATGGAGTAATTAAGCTGTTCACAGAGCGCCTTGACGTGCTGCTTTGCCTCCAGATGACAGGAGGGATTTCCACATGGAATGGTCCTAAACTAAACCAGAACTTTTTAGAATTATGAATCAGTTCAGGGTGAGAGCCAGGCATTCTTCAGCGATTAAAGTGTGTGCTTTAGAGAAAGGAACTGCAAACTATTGATTAAGGCAGAGTTATCCTTTAACAGCCAAGGACAGTTGTAAGGGAGCTCGGCCTTCAGATCAGTGAAATTGTTGCTGCAGTTCACAACTATATTCGCTAAAAAGGAAGAATACACACAGCTCAAGTGTTCAGCAGTTTGCCTAAAATCACAAAATTACTTATTTTAGCAGATATGCCGTGAGATTTAGGCTAGTAATAGCAATAATAGAAGGTCAAGAAACTCTTCTCATCAGTCAGGCAGTGTATGAACCACAGAACTAAAAGATGATCTTTGCCCCAGAGAAAGCTCACTCTCAGACTGAAAGGGAACAGATGACTAAATATGGAGAGAACAAGGAAATCATAAATGAAAACTCATCAAAAGATACAGGCCAGGGCCTTGTCATAAAACCCAACAGCTCTTGTCAGGGATTTTGCATACCTCATGGGAAAGGAGTGCTTTAAAGGGAGGATCTGAAAGCAAACAATGAAAAGGTTTTGTAAATGTGTTTAGGTAATTCCAAGTATAAGGAGCAGCATGAGAGCAAGCATGAAAACACACTCGATGAAAATCTAATAGAAAGACCATGAAAAGTGGCATCACCATTTGGGTAGCCAGTGAAGGACAAGGGAAGGGAGGAAGCTCCGCTGTGGGGACCTGTCTGCTGATGGTAGCCCAGCTCACGGGCTGGACGTGGCACAGTCACACTGTGGAGGAACAGCAGTGCTGCAGGAACGTTTATCCCAGCTGAAGAGCAGAACAGTGTGGAAACTGAAACACAAGCTCATGCACAATTTGTTAAAATTACACGCGTTCAAAATAAGAGGTGTTTGGACTTGTTACTGGATTTATATTTGCAAATCGTACCTGCAGGATGGTGGGGGCTTTGTAAGTGGAGCCTCCACCCTCAAGAGTTTACATCCTAAATTAGAGACTTGTATAATCTAGGCTGTGTGATCTGAGATGTGTGTCCAGAATCCTTCTGCCTGGGCTGAAGAGGAATACTGGAGCTAATTACGAGTGGAAGAAGTCTAATTGTAGCAGCACAGAACAGCATGGGTCATTTGCTTTGGGAAGAAACAGGCTGATATGCATCCAGCATTTCAAAGTACTGTCTGCCTTTGTGGTAGACTTAGAACTTGTCTGACACAGGGAAGTCTCTCCTTTGGTTGTTTTGGTTACCTTGGCAGAAGTGAGGAGGAGATGGCAACAGAAGCATTTTGAGTAACTCGCCCAGCTCTGCTTTGCCCAGTCCTGGAACGGCCTCGTCCTGCCTTCCTTGCCCACGACGCTGGTTCTGCAGAGCATTCAGCTGTCAGAGTTGTCTCCCAGGCAAAGGAGGAGGGAGTCTAACTGTCTAATTTGCAATAGTTCCTTACACTGCTCCACACCTTTCCTCCCAATGGCATTTCATCCCACTGGAAGTATTTGGTGAGCTCCGTGAGGGCTAATTCAGAGCTCAGAAAGCTCGTTGTGATTTCACACCGCAGTAATCTGATCAGTGAAGGCTCAGAAGGACAGTTCTCCACACTCTGGATTTGTCAGCTTTTAAATTGTCACATCCAAACACATCCCAGTGGAGAATCTCCTTGAGGGTACAGCAAGCCTCAGGTTTCCCAGATCCTACTCTTTCTTCTGACAGGTATATAAGACTGACAGTATCCCTCAGTAATAAAATGCAAGAAACACCAGAGAGAGCAGGGTGTGATGTAGGAGGAAAGCTAAAGAAAAAAGTTCCACAACCTGAAGCAATGCAAACAGCTGAGAGGGCACCTGAACTATTTGAGGCCTTTCATCCCTTGCACACTTCTCAACCCACAGACTTCAGTTCCACGGTCAAGGTGGGCAGCACTCTTCATATGCTCATTTCTCACCACCTCGGAGCACCCTGAACCCTTCAAAAGTCCTACAATGGGTTTTAGTGAGTAACCTATATAAATTTAAAAGAGCAAAATAAACCAAAACTTGTCCAGGGACAAGTTACGCTTCCGATCCTGCAGACTGCATTTTAGCATAAGCAGAACTCCACTTTGCTCTGCTCTGGAACACAAAGACAATTCTGCTCGTTGTCTTGTCCAGCCAACTGGTGACAAGAGCTAAGCACACACCAGGGGGAAGCTGTAGAATGCCTCCCTAACGTCCTTGCTGGCGCTTGCACCACGGGACACGTGGTGGATCAGATATCCAACAATCTCCCACCGGGACCAAGCAGGGCCCATGGGAGGGCAGAAGGTCCAGATCCCCCCAAGGCCACTATTTACTTGAGCTGGAGAGAAAAAGAGCAAGAAGCTCAAGGAGCAGAGGCACTAATTAACTCAGGGCTCTGTGGATTTATGTCCTCTTGTAGGCTCTCTTGTAGCTAAAATGGAGCATTTATCTCCTTGGGGATTAGTCTTTTGTACCTTGCCAGCCTTGCCTTCACTGGGGGCACCAGGATGGTCACTTTTCTCTATCTCACTGATGGTTTTCTAATTAAACTTTCAGGCAGATCATTCCTTTGAGAACCACACCTCTATCCAACTCGACTGATATTTGTTTTAAAGCTTAAAAGTTATTCAAAAAGGTGGGGGTATCCATAGGCAAAGAAAATGGGCATCGCTTTGCTTCTTTAGGAAACCAAGCTCTTTGAAAAATCAATTTTTCAATACTTAATATTCTCTAAAGTGAACAGAACAGAGTATATTTATTTCCTTTGAAGCATAATATAAAAGATTTTCTTCAAATCAGTGTGAGCATCGTTTAACCTGATTTGATAACTGGGAGAAGGGACTGTGTGCCTGAAAGCTTACTCTCTTTTTTAGCTATAGGATCTGGTCTATTATACTACTTTATTTCTCCCTTCAGAACTTGCTTCTTATCTAATTAGAGACCCTGGTGCACTCTCATTGACTCTCTCAAGGATTATTTCTCCCTGAGGAAGTCCTGAGGACAGTGAACCAGACTCAGATTTATAATAGACCAGGATTAGATTAAACTAGTGGGAGAATTCAATATCTACATTCAAATGTTTATGAATGTATTGATCAGAAATATTGTATCTTTTAACATAGGATTGCTGGGTTTAGAAAAATAATGTTCCCATTGTTGCAGACTTAAAAATCTTTCAGAGGAAGAGAAGATGATATTTTATATTGAGCCTAAAACACCAGACCAGGCAATGACAAGTCTCAATTCTTGCTTTGCTTTTAGAACTGTAGTTTGAACATGATTCAGGCTCTAGCCCCTGGTAATTCCTGTCCATATTAATAACAGTTGCTGTTGAGAAACCCTCTTTTGTTTACTATTTCAGCAAATTCACCTGATGACTTTTTTTTGTCTCTGAATAATATATGCGTGAGACAACAGGGTACGTCTGGGTGCTTTTCTTGCTGCTTCACTCTCCTATAACTTGAAATTCCTGCCTGTTTATTAGTAAGCACTAAATGGAAATTTCTCAGGTGAGTTACTTGGCACAGCCGTTTTGTCACAGGAGACCCGCTGACCCTTGCCACAACTTTTTCAGAGCATGTAACTGGGAAGTTCATTTTGCTGAGGGACTGTTGAGGCACAGAGTGATTAAACGTCTTGCCTGGACTCAAAGATCGTGGGAGAAGTAAGGAAAAATACACCTCCAGCTCCTTAAGCAAGCATCCTAACCACTGGAGCATCCTACCTCTGCACTCCTTGCTCAAGGAGGCAGAAATAACTGGGCTGGATTTGCTGGAACCATATAACCCATAATTAGCTGGTCTCTTTTCTCTTGAGTTTCAAAGTGCCAGCCCTATTCACTTCCCAGCCTTGGTGGTTAAACTGTTTTCATGGCTGATACAGTTCAGTTTGTCTCCTAGTTATCACTCCCTTGGTGCTTTAACAACATTCAGAATCCAAATTCACTCCTTCATCAATCAGGAAATCCAGACAGAAATTTTGTTTGGGATTTTTTTTCTCCAAACTGCAGTGACAGGATTAGCAATTTTGTGCCATTTCTGTCAAATTTAATAAAAACTAAGTTTATCAGTAACAAAATTTCAGGTAGCTTCAGTACAGGGTCCATCAAGATCTACAAAAACCCGACCAAGGAGCAAACCCCTCACATTCCTCCCCCTCTTTATCCCCTGTCCCAAATCAAGGGAGATCAGCACTTGGCTGGATTGATCCTGTGCTGGTCCCATCAGTGCAACTCTGATTGGAATAATTGGTTCCAGAATGCAAGTACTTCAGTTCACAGGTTCTCTTGTACATAACTAAGAGGTTAAGCTCTGAAACAACTACATTTTGACATGAGAAATACACCCACAGAGCATTTATTACAAAAGAACATTTTACCTCTCACTTTTCTTGCTGAATGAATGACTTGGCTATCATACGTCTTCATAAAATGACTGAATTTAAGCATTTTAAGCACCATTCAGCTATTTTGTTTCTGCTTGCTAGAATTCAGATGCTCAACTCCATCTCTTTAATCATTCAACAGCCACACTGCTGAGCTGAACAACCCCATGTATGCTATCACTAATAAAATGCTGCAGAGTATTATCTCGGAAGCATCTGCAGGTCCAACAGTATAATTTAATATTATCAAAGTTCTTTATAAATATTTATAAGAGTTCTCCTGAATCCAGGATTTCCAGATTTAGTCTGTCCAACAAAATACGTTGATTAACATTCACCAGAATTCGATGACAGACCTCCTCAAAGTGTTTCAATTTCCTTAAAGATCGTAGAAGTCTCCTTTGATCTTTTGCTCTGTCTCACGAACGCGACGAGCATTTGGAGAGCTTCGGACAAGCCTTCTCCCGTGACAGCACAGCAGGGTTGTACGTACCAATTTCTGTCGCTGCAGTACTTCTTCATGTTGAATTTCCTGGTTATTTCCTCAGCATTCAAAGCTCCTGGCAGATCCTGCTTGTTCGCCAGCACGACGACTGGTACACATTTTAGAAATTCATTCTTTAAAATGATTTCAAATTCTTTCTTTGATTCTTCCAGACGTCGTTTGTCAGAGCTGTCCACCACATACAGCAGCCCGTCTGTGTTTTCCAAGAAATTGCACCAGAGCTGTCTCATTTTCTGTTGTCCTCCAACATCCCAAAATGTCAAGGTAAAGTCTTTCTTGGTTTCGATCATATCCACGTTAAAGCCAATTGTGGGACTTGTTAGGAAAATACCATCGTACCTGAACCTGTACAGCAGTGTAGATTTTCCTGCAGAATCAAGTCCTAACATCAGTATATTGGCTTGCTTGGTTTTGGAGTATTTGGTGTTCTGGAGGCCCATTGGTGCCGTGCAGTTCTCTCGTAAGCCTTTACAGTCTTCTGTGAAGCCAGTTGTTGTCTGTACGTTGTATTCCTCTGTGAAGCGAAGCGCAGAGAGTAAGGCAGAGGAAGGGGAAGAAGCAGCTTCGTGCTATGCAAAGTCAGTAAAAGCTCTGTCCAAACACACACTGGCTTTTATCACCGTGATAACACGCAAACCGTAGGAAGGTGTAGGGTTCAGTGCCAAGCCTGTGGGTGGAACAAGTATGCGTAACATACCAGTTGGTCACAGGCACAAAGGTTACAGTCTTTGTACATGTCTGAACAGTGAACCACACTTACAGGACCATTTAAGAACTCTTTATGCTGTAAATTGTGTGTAGCAAACTGGCAGCAGCCTGGTTGTTCTCCCTCACCCCGTGGCCCAGGGAGCTGCTAGCGGCCTGCACCGTTCAGCATGTGCCCACGCTGAATCCTTCTCTGCATCTGCATCCATTTGGGAAAGATCTTAGCAGAGGAGGGAAGCAACTGAGAATTGATCAATTGATCATTTTTTTTTTTGCCAGCATTTGAAATAGTAGAATAAAAAAAGAGAAGATAGAAAATTTAGTCTAGCATTATTTAATACTACCAAGTGTCCATGTTTTGGACAGTTAGCAGATTGACGCTGCACCGTCACAGTATCACAATACTTCCTTGCTTTTATAGCCAGCTGCATGAGGGTTAGTTATTACCATTTGTCTTTGCCACAGAAAATGCACCATCAGCAAAAAGCTGTAAAGGTCTCCTGGCCCATGAGCCGCTGGCTGACTGATAGGGTAATCATTTTGATAATTATGGCATTGGCTGCGCATATATTACACATTGCGTAAAACAACCCTCGCTCTTGACAGACAGGTTATTATCTGATTTCATTTGAAGCTAGGTTTATACCAGAACTAACTGGGGGCAACATGAAATGACAGTGACATACTCCCTGTTGTGTGTTTTTCATCTTTAGTAACACAGAGGGATCCTGCATAGGTTGGTTGGTTTTTTGTTTTTTTTTTCAGGAGCGGGTCATAATGTATTAACCAGAGAAGAATTTGTTTGAAAGAACTGAAAGATGGAGAAACAGGAAACTATGCAAAACATGTTGTTAACATAGTCAAATGAATCCTAATAACCTGCAATGTAACCTGCCATTTCCTGGAAGTATGGTTATCTTGTTCATGGACAAAACCTGCCTCCTGCTCAAGCCGTGACAGCAGATGGATGCTCTGGGTCCTGGGTAGTGCTGCCATTTAAAGATTACTCAGAGTTCTCTGCCCTGTGTGTTTGCTCCAACCATATTCAATATTTATAGTCTCAACTGTTATTTTATTACATCAGACTTATCACTTTGAAGAAGTGATTAAGCAATGTCTGGCTTTTTACAAGCTCATTAAATTTGTTTCCAGCTACTTTTGAAGACTCCCATGGTTTTGCAGTTTTTAACCTCACCTGAATCGAACGTGCATTTGGTCCAGAGCAAAATTTGGTGATGCAGAACCACTTCCAGAGACAGCTTCCTGCATTACTTCTGAGTTTACGTGCCCGTAGGAGCCCAAACCAAAGCCATCGCCAGCTGCACAGCACACAGCACAACACAGCCTTCAGCCTGCACGTTCCAAATTGCCATGTGCACCGAAAACCGAGGGTTTGAAACAACAAGAAATCCAACTTCAATTAGTCCAAAGGTGCATTTGCTTTGCTGGGGTGAGGCTAATCTTGCATCTGTAGGGTTTGCCTATATGTTGAGTTTAAAAACCCCAGGGCAATCAAACTGGGACAGCTGGTTTACCATTAGTTAACCCAAACTCAAACTTTGTACAAGAAACCTTTTGTTAACTGTGTAGGTTTACATAAACCATGCAAGTTCCCAGGTTGTCCAAGCAGCATATTCCACCAGGGCTGTGTGCTGTTGTAACGTTACCCAATGTAATTAATGTAATCATTTAGGGAGGCTTGGGAGTATATTCTCACCATGATCAGCTCCAGGCGCTGAGGCAAGAGGGCAAGTGCAGTTTGAAAATGCCTGTCTCTTCTTCCTTGGAATCTATAAACTTTAATGTCGCACCTAGCCCCAGATTTTAAGAGACGGAACCAACTGAAGCCCGAAGGGGGCAACCAGGAACAACGCTGCGCTCCGCGGGAAGGCCCAGGGCCGCCATTTGATGCGCTCGCCTGGTGCTACCCGAGGGGCCTCCCAGCTCCCCGCGCCCGGAGGAGGAGGAAGAGGAAGGAGAAGAGGAGGAAGGAGAG